TTGCTTTCTCTGGGAGGGTGACGGGGTCAGGCTGACTGCACCGGGGCCAGCTTCCAAGCTCACGTCTGTAAAGCTTTCCACTGAATAGAACTGCTCCTTATCTAAGAGAAGAAGCAGAAATGTCCATCGTCCTGTGAAACTTGCAGCATCAGGAGACCAAGACCACAACTGAGCGAGAAACAAAGAATACTGTTTCTTTGTCAACATGAAGAGCCTAGATAATTTAATTCATTTTTATTTACCTTCTAAACTCTGATTTGAGTCATCAGGGAATAAAATACGGTCCATTTAAATTTTTCATTATCTCAGATATTGAACTATCTCAAATCACTCCTGGATCCACCGTGAACTTGTCACCTGATGGGAACACTTCTTGCCACCTCTTGGCTGTGCTGCTTTGGGCAAGTTGCTAAGCCTCTCCGAACCTTGGCGAGCTCGTCCGTAAAACAGGGATGATGCCAACTTCATCTGGTTGCTGGGAACCCCAAAACTGAGCCTGGTGCTGACTCTGACGACCTGGGCACAGGGCCGGGCACAGTCAGTATGTGCTAGTTTGGCACTTGAACTTCATCCTGACGTCTTGAAGTGGACTTTGGTGAAAGTAGCCGACCTGCAAGGGCCCCTATTATCTCCAACAGGCTTTTTACTCTATGGTTGTGCCCAGCAAAGACCTAGAAGAGGAAGTGACTAATTCTTACTGGGGAGCTCTTACAGAATGACCAAAAAGGGACATTTCAGCCTGGTCTTTGAAGACAAGTAGAAGTTTGCAGGTGGAGATATAAATCGATGTCGAAAAGAGCGACAGATGTTTTTATGTTATCTTTTTATAGTTAATTATTTTAGGGGACAGCACAAGCAGGGGAGGGGCAGAGAGAGAGAGAGACACAGAATCGGAAGCAGGCTCCAGGCTCCGAACCGTCAGCAGAGCCCCACGCGGGGCTCGAACTGACAAACCTCGAGATCATGACCTGAGCCAAAGTCAGATGTTCAACTATAATAAAAATATAATAAAAATTCTACTTAAGGTTTTTTAAAAACACACAAGCAGGACCGACTGGGTGGCTCAGTCGGTTGAGCGTCCGACTTCGGCTCAGGTCATGATCTCGCGGTTCGTGGGTTTGAGCCCCGCGTCGGGCCCTGTGCTGATGGCTCGGAGCCTGGAGCTGCTTCGGATTCTGTGTCTCCCTCTCTCTCTGCCCCTCTCCTGCTTGCACTCTCTATCTCTCAAAAATAAACATTAAAAATAAAATTAAGTGCATAGTAGATTTTAAATGATAGGAGTTCTGCCAGAACTAAGACATCTACAGGCTGGAGTTTAGTAGAAAAAAAAGTAAGACCATGAAAAGATCTATAGCATCCAGCATCTCATCAGTTTCCCCGTCTGTGAAATGGGAATAATAATATTATCAGCCTCTCAGGGTTGATGTGAGGCTGAAAGAGTAGGTACAGGGTAGTCTTAGAAAAGTGCCTGGTGCATAGTAAACACTCAGTTTATCATGATTAAGTGGGCACTGCACCCCTGAGGTTGTTCTAGAAAGACCAGACCTGATGCCTTGTAGGAAGCATTAGCAAGGCCCACCCCTGGTGTTGCTCAGCAGTCCAGGGTCTGGCTCATCTCCTTTTGCAAAATAAAAATGTGATTTGATTTGACTGGCGCACACAGAGGTGCTCAGTTCTGTTCACGGGACCCCAAGTTCACGAGGGACTGTAGTAAACCAGAGTCCTTCTCTCTGAACTAAAGTGAGACGCTATGTTGGAGGGTCTGTCAGTGCCCAGCGGAAGCCCGGGGACGTCCAGGGGCTGGTGCTGAGCCTGCAACAGAGCCTGGGAGCAAGCGGAAGGGTCTCCCTAGCTGGTGGTCACACTGGGACCACGTGTGCGGTGCTGCGTGTCTCCTGGAGGCTGTTCCGGTGGTTTCTCATTCCTCAGCTCCCTTCTCGAGGCCCCAGGCTGAGCACCCCTCCTCTCTGTGAGCACAGCCTCCCTCGGAGAGCAGTCACATTGCCCGGTCCCCGAGATCGCCTCCAAGTCAGGAATGGCAGCTCCCCTCCTCCTTGGCCACACACGTGTGGACAGCTCCTTGAGTCTCGCCTTCTCACAAAGAAGCGACCCACTACTCTTGGAGTCATCCTCGCTCTGTCCTTGGAGATAACCCGTTCTTAGACCTCGGCAATTATCTTTTGACCACGCTTTAGCAAGTTAGCTGGGAAACAGCTTAGAGTGGGGGTTCAGAGCCGGGGCTCTGGGTCCGCGTTCCGAATCTATGACCTCGGTAGGTGTGTGCTCTGTTCTTCAGTGTCCTCGTCTGTAAGTGGGGATGTCATACCCACTGTCTTAGTTTCCTGTCGTCACCATAACAAATGATCGTAACAAATTGCTATAACAAATCACCACAAAATTGGTGGGGCTAGGGGCGCCTGGGTGGCGCAGTCGGTCAAGCGTCCGACTTCAGCCAGGTCACGATCTCGCGGTCCGTGAGTTCGAGCCCCGCGTCCGGCTCTGGGCTGATGGCTCGGAGCCTGGAGCCTGTTTCCGATTCTGTGTCTCCCTCTCTCTCTGCCCCTCCCCCGTTCATGCTCTGTCTCTCTCTGTCCCAAAAATAAATAAAAAACGTTGAAAAAAAAATTAAAAAAAAAAATTGATGGGGCTAGAAATTGATTCCTCCCCAGTTCTGGAGTCCAAAACACCCATAGCCGGCCTCACTGGGCCAAAATCAAGCTGGGCCACATTCCCTCTGAAAACACCAGGGAAGGCTCCTTTGCAACACTCCAGTCCCTGCGTCCACGATCACGGGGGCTTTAGCTCTCTTCTCTGTGTCTCACATGTCTCTCTGCTTCCCTCCTAAAAGGACACCTGTGGTTGCAGATAGTCCCAGTGATCCAAAATCACCTCCCCACCTCCAGATCCTCCACTTTATTATCCCTGCAAGGGTTTTGCCACATAAGGTAACATTCACAGGTCCCCAGGATTAAGATGTGACATCTTTTCCACTGTGAAGACGAAGACGGCAATTTGCCCCAAACTCTTAATGGTTCAATCAGGTTTTAAACATTCTCAGAACCAAAGCCGACAGTATAGGGCAGAGATGATCGACTTCAGGCACCTTTGCCTGACTGATGACCTATCAGTTTTCATGTCTCTTCAGGGGCATATATTCCAAAGATTGGTGGGGAATGGCAGGAAAACACAAGCATCTCTCCGGCTCGGGTATCAGAGTGATTGGAGAAATTGCCATGTGTCACTGGGATAGTCCCCCTTTACCCAAGCCCCTTGGTTCAAAGAAATCGGAGTCCTGTTCAGTTAGAATCTCCCTGGTAGGTGGGATTTTCATTTCTTACCTAATGCACATTTGGTTTGAACTTCTTAGAATGAGAATGGGTTACCTTTACAAAACCCTCAAAAAATACTAACATTTTTTAATTCTTTGAAGGTTTCCCATTATCCAGAATCCAAACCCCTTACAACAGTGGTTCAGGGTCTTTATAATCTATCTAAACTCATTTCCTTTCAGTGTCCCCTGGAGAAGGTATGTTCGGACCACAACCATCCACCTTCTGACACCTAAACACTCATTCACTCAGCAGCTGTCTATTGAGTGTTGTGTATGTGCTGAGCAATGTTTTCAGAGCTGTTGTCATGACAGCAGACAGATGTCCTTGCTTTTGTGGAGCTTATGCTCTAGTTGTGGTAGGGTCCCCTCCTTATGGGGAGGGAAAAAAAAAAAACAAAAACTCAAGGCAACCTGGTTACACGCGTACATGACAATATCCCTCACGACATTGTAACATGAGACCACTTAATCAGACTGCATGTTTGTGCGTTACCATATATGAGAGACAAAGAAATAGAAAATGTATAAAAAATACAGGATGTGGTATCTGGGGCTCAGTTCTTTGGGTACGAACCCAACTGAGCCGTGCCGGCACGAATAAAGTTGCTTCCTGGAAAGAAAAGCCTCAGTGTCACGAGTCTCTGTGCAAGGATCCTGCTACATAGTGAATCTCTCTGTTCCATGTGTTAATTTGTTTTGTTCTCTCTTCCTGACCTGTCTGCCCTCTCAATCTCTGACAGCACCCTACCCTTTCCTCCAGCCTTGGTTCAGATGCTACATCTTCTGTGAGGTCCCCAGGGTTACCCTCCATCAGAGGTAATGGCTGTTGCCTCCAGGCGTCCATGGGTCCTACCTGTATCTCCACGGTAGGGATTCTCCCACCGGCTCTGCACAGGGACACACCCAGGGTATAAAAGAAACACAACCCGGACTTGGACGACCGTGAATTCTGCCTCTGTGAGAACCCGGCAGATATGAACTCTCTCCTCACAGGCTTGTCGTGAGGCACAAAGGTGGTGCGTGCACCAAATATTCAGCACGGTGTTGGTCAGCCGTCATTTTCTAAATGAACAACTCTAACTGTAATGATGTTTTGGGGGTCGTATTAAGAATTTCCCAGGAGCACCTGGGTGGCTCAGTTGGTTAAGCGTCCGACTTCGGCTCAGGTCGTGATCTCGCGGTTCACGGGTTCGAGCCCCCCATCGGGCTCTGCTGACAGCTCAGAGCCTGGAGCCTGCTTCGGATTCTGTGTCTCCCTCTCTTTCTCTGCCCCTCCCCCACTCATGCTCTGTCTCTCTCTGTCTCAGAAATAAATAAACATTAAAAAAAATTAAAAAAAAAAAACACAAAACAAGAATTACCCGGCATCTGGGGTGCCTGGGTGGTTCAGTCGGTTAAGCCATGGACACTTGATTTCGGCTCAAGTCATGATCCCACGTGTTTGTGAGATCCAAGCCCCTGGGTTGGGCTCTATGCTGACAGTGTGGAGCCTGCTTGGGATTCTCTTTCCCTCTCCCTCTGCACCACCCCCCACCCCTGCTTGTGTGCTCTCTCTCTCTCTCTCTCTCTCTCCCGGGCACCTAGCGTGAGAGCTTGTGCCCAGTACTCGGTGAACATTTCTTGAATCTGTGCTGAGTGTAATATGATGTTGTTTGGGTTTTTCTTCCAGGTATTCCGTTTACAAGGACCCAGCCGGCTGGCTGAATATCAACCCCATCAATGGGACCGTTGACACCACGGCAGTGCTGGACCGTGAGTCGCCATTCGTCCACAACAGCGTGTATGCTGCCCTCTTCCTGGCAATCGACAGTGGTGAGTAATTTTTAAAGGGCCACCAAGTGTATACGTCTCAGCGGTAAGTGTATTTTCGCGTATTACATTTCCTCTCATAACACCTGGAGGTGTTCTTGGGAAGAATACAGATGTGGGGGGCGGGGGCAGGGAAAGCAAATGCATAAACACACAGTGAGTCAGTTAGACGCCGGGTTCTCCAGTCTTTGTCCAGTTAGAGGTCAGAGTGGTGAGCTCACTGTGCTTCGTCCGGGGTAGGCGCCAGGGCCAGGAAGGCACATTGACGTCCTTTGTCTTGGCATCATGCTGTCCCAGAGGGCCTCGCCAAACCTGGCGACTGAATTGCCCCCGCAGCTTTTATCCTGTTATCACAGGAGACCATGGAAAGACATCAGGTGCACTCAGCGAGGAGCTTCATAATCGCAGAACAATTGCTGTTCATTCAGAAGCTAATAATGCAACATCCAGGTGCCAAACTCCCTTCTGGATGCTGGGGATACAGCAGCAAACACACAAAACCCACTCTCCTTGTGCCGCTGATACGCTCACAGAGAAAGGAAGAAAATTGAGTAAAATACATAGTACACTTTGGGGGTTGGGGGGATGAAAACGTACTATTTATGTATGAAACAAGGAAATGCAGAAAAGATTGTGGATGACGGGGTCCTGAAGTTCTCAAGAGGCAGCCCTCGGGGGCCCCCCGGAGCAGTGACATTGGAGTAGAAACATGAAGACAGTGGAGAAGGGAGCCCTGAAGTTCTCTAAGGGAGGAGCCAGAGGGCCAAGAGGGTAGGACCAGAGAGAGTGGGCGGGACGGGAAGGGGGTTGCCCTACACCACCCTCCGATTTCACTGTGTGTGAAATGGGACGCCGTTGCCAAGGGCCGGGTAGGGTTCAGTGTGACAGGATCATGCTGCCCTGTTGAGAGCAGACGTGGGGGACAAGGACACAAGTACAGAGACCTCTTAGGAGACTGGTGACCATGTAGGCATGACGGGCGCTTGGACCCGGAATGGGAGAGGAGAAGAGAAGAGGTCAGATTCTGGAGATAGTCTCTGTGTTTCAGACGCAAATCTAACAGCAGCTGCCACTGGCTGAGATGGGGGGGTCAGAGCCGGTTTGGAGGTTAAGCTGGTGAAGATGAGATGTCTGTCGTATCAATCACCTGAGAAGGTTTGCTCTCCCTCTTATTCTCAAAAGCCCGCGGTTCGTGCCCCAAGCTTCAGTTTAGAGTCCCGTATATCAAAATGAGTATTCACAGGGCCTTTTACGTGCCCTTCATTACACTCGATAACAGGTGAACTAAGAACTCTCAGACTCCATCTCCGTGTGCTAGGTACTGACGTGCAAGCCGCCTATGGGATCAGGTGTCTGAGAAGGGCACGGTCGGCGTGGTGTATGATAGGCAGACAGGGCTTCACGGTGAAGCCAGCCTTTGAGTTTGGCCTTGGAGGGCAGGTAGGATTTGCGTCCGTGGCAGGGTAGGAGGTAAAGGTGCCCGAGAACACAGAGCAGAGGAACCAAGACTAGGAGGGAGTGTGGTGCGGGCGGTAAGAAAGGGAGAGAGAAGCGGTACATCCACTGTGAGTGAACAAGTGGAAACCTGTTTGGATGGAAGCCGAACAGTCATATCTTCCAAGCGTCTCAACATCCAGACGAGTCATTTCACAGAGGGGGCAGCCAAAAGACCCCATAGGTTCTTGAGGAGGAAATGGCACGATGATGTAGCACACAGACATTCGTCCACAGACGCCGGGCTTGGTCCGGGGGACCCAGAGTTGAATAATGCCTGGGCCTTGTGTTCCATGAGCTAATGAGTGATTTGGGGAGATAGGCCAATAAGAAGACCACAGTGCAATGTCATAACTGTTCTGATGGAACTAAGCCCAGAGGGGGCCCTTGTCCAGCCTTCGTGCTGGTCACAGGGAGCTTCTTGGTCAAGGGGATCCCTACGGAGTGATGAAGGAGGAGTTGAGGAAAAGCAACACAGTTCTGTAACCCCATTCCCATTTTTTATTTTTTCATTTTTTAAAATTTACATCCAAATTAGCATCTGGGGCAACAGTGATTTCAGGAGTAGATTCCTTAAGCCCCTTCCCCATTTATCCCATCCCCCCTCCCACCACACCTCCCGTAACCCTCAGTTTGTTCTCCATATTTATGAGTCTCTTCTGTTTTGTCCCCTTCCCTGTTTTTTTTATTATTTTTGTTTCCCTTCCCTT